ATAATGAGGCATAAATGCATACAGAAATGTAAAAAGGGCAGAGAGAAATAAACAGCGGCAAAGAAATAACTAAGGTAAAAAAATACAAAGGAAGAATAAAACAGACAAAAATATATATAACATGCACATAAATAAATACTTAAAAATATAAGTAATTAAAAAATAAAGTTGAAGATGATAAAGGACAAAAAAAAAGAAGGTAAATATTGCAAAGGCAAATAAATAAAGAAGCTAATTAAGAGTTATATACATTTATGTCTCACTTTATAGTTTAATTTCTACTTACATTTATTTGTTTATTCTATTTTTGTTGGCAATTAATTGTATGCTTATATATTTTTTGAGCATTTATTTCTTTCTTTATTTATTTTTAAATATGGAAGAGTTGGTCCTCCATACTGCTGAGCTAGATCTATATATTTGAAAAATTAACTGTCAACAGTTGATATAGATCAGCTTTCCGAGTCTGCTGATAACTTAAATCCTGTTTTATTTCCAGAGTATGAGCTTTTATTACTTTAAACATGTGCACTCAACTTCTCTGGAAATGAGTTGGAGTGTAAATAATTTGTTAAACTCAATATAAACAGTCAGTGCTTCTGAGAAAAGAAAAAGGAAACATTCATTTATGCTGATTTTTATTTTTAAGACATACAGGAATTACAGAGAAATCGAAAAATTACTCTGTTAGTTGTGCCAATTGACCCTTTATTGCACTGGCTTTTTTTTTTTTTTACTTCTCATACAGCTTCTGTGATTTTGCTACTTGATTCTTTCTCTCATCGCTGAGGCTCTGAAACAACAGATAAACAACAGCAGGACAAATTCTTTAAATCTCTGTGTGCGGATTTGGAGAAATCCCTAAACCATGCTATATGCTTCATTAATGCAATTAAATACCTTTGTGATGGTGACTTTTTAAGATCTCAACGTATTTCGTATCGATCAGATAACACAATAATTTGTAGTTCTTCGAGTCTACATGCAGTTTATGTCCTGTTTGGGGAGAGGGCTCCTGAAAAGCCCCACCCACAGACACATCTGCAAAAATCAGCTGGATTCCAGCAGCTGCCACCAGTAGATCTCGTCACCAGTTAATCTGTGACACCGGCCCTCCTTAAATTATACCAGCCCCAACACTTACTCTCTGGCCGAAGCACCTACCTGTGACAGTAAATAACTGAAGGACCCCCAGAAGTAAAACAATCTTAACTACCTATATGATGCATGCAGTATATGTAGCCCTTCCTTGTCATGCATATCCTTGCGACGGTTGGCATATGGAGTAATTTTCTATTTCTTCAAACTGTAAAATCCTTGCAACAAACTAAATTATAACAAAAACTAAAATGCTTTCTTTAAACCAAACTACGATGTTCCTCTTATATTTGGCGAATTTATATTTGAATATTTTGCAAAAATATGTTGCGGTGAATGATGGGGTTTTGCATCTAAAGGCTAACGTTTCCCCCTCTGTTGCCAGGTTGAGATGTTTCCCAATCTGGCAGTTTAGGATGGCCGTCTCTAGGTAAAAAATGTAGGCTTTGGTTCAAATTGGACGGGATTTTGTTTATCCAGGCGGTTTATGAAATTTTTTGGGCTGGAGTCAGTGACATCTGGTGACCCTGCTGATGTGGTGAGTGTGGACGTTACGCAGCAGCAGTCACTGTTGCGTCCGTGTTAATAACCAAAGCCAGTAAAACTGCATTTTAGAAGTCTTGGTGAGGGTTATCGTGTGATGCTTGCAGATAGATCGGTTAATCCACCATGTGTAATTGATTGTGTTTCACATTTCAGTGGAGGAGTATGACGGAGTATTAGAGCCAGGCTAGAGTGTTTTTATAGTGTTTCTATTGCGAGAATAAAGTTGTAATATTAAGAGACTAAAGCTGTAACGTTATGAGAATAAAGTTGCAATATTATGAGAAT